AATTTCCTGGCAGGATCACACAAAAAATGAAATAAAGAAGAACAGGGAGTTGGCTTTAGACCAGCTGAAAAGGTTTACATATTCTCTGAAGTTTATTGAGAAAAACCACTACGAGGTTGATAGACAGCTCTACATTTTGAATGCAGAAAATGCCAGATTGAGAGCAGTGAGTATTTTGCATGTGACATATCAACACATAGGCCCATATCTATAAACATGGCCAATACCGAACAAAAGTTTAAAAAGCCAAGGGGGAGAGTTGAAAATTACGTTCATGTTTTATTTGAGCCCTTGAATATTTTTGATTCTGCATGAAGCTGCAAAATTGCAAATCATAGTTGAAGTTGACACTGACTGGTTCACACAACACTGGAAGCCAGAGTGTAGGTTGAACGTGGGTTGACCCCTTGAGTTGTGTTACGTTGCCCCTGCCATGCTAACAAATATCCCAGACTTTATAATGCAACAGCAAACTGTAGGTGGATTGTTCATAGTTAACAAGCCATGGTTTGTTAGTGCATCACCTCTGATCTCAGTTTGTAAAATACTTCTTTCAGTATAGCCAATATATGCCTGTTTTCGGTGTCTGCCATGCAACTAACAGCATCTGGCCTGTGAAGGTTTATGCCAAAACAGTAGCCTTTTGAGGTGCTACAAAAGGCTTTCTTGTTTCCATGTCTCAGGGTGTTGCAGATCCATTGTGCAGGATTTCTGCTTTGTGGAATCTTTTTCTTCTGCATCTGCACATACTGATACTACAGTGGGCAGATGTCTGCCTGTCGGAGAGCCTTGGGGAGATCTGCAGTAGAGTTGGCAGGCCGTGGGCTGCATTCAGACCAGAGCCACACTGTAGATGCCTAGTGCAACCTGGCAGGCTCTGCCCCTTCAAAAGCACAGAACCCACAGCCTGATCCATGCTTTCAAAGGGCACTCCTGTCTGGCTGGGGAGAAAACGGAGTGTTCCTGGTAACAGCAGGGAGAACACTGAAGGCACAGATCTGTATTTTCAAAGGGGTGGGTGGGTTTGCATAAAGAAGACAGAGAATGGGTGGAGCATATGGTATGTGGGATTTGTGTGAAAGGTAGTGATGACCTTAGAAGGGTGAGGAGTACTGGACATCCGAAAATCATTACCTTTCCAAACGTTTTGGCAGTGACAGCTCTCACAGGAGGAATATTCTGAGGTTGCATGGGAATCTTAAGACAGAAAAAGAATATGTTTCTTTGGCTCCATTCACTCTGGGCTTGCTCAGCATGGGCAGTTCAGCCACTGAAAAATTCATTCCAATTAATTAATTTAATGTAATTCATTCCAATTAATTAGTTCCAAATTCATTCCAATCTTTTCCACTAATCCTTGGTGGAAAAGAGGGTGTCCATCCTGTTTTACATCCTTCTTCATTAGAAAAAAAATGTAGATTTAAGAACTGTTACTTTAATTGGCTCCTCTCCCCACCTTCATCTCCCCCCTCCCCCAAATATTCTGATTCTGCAGGCAAGGGCCAGCCTAGTTTTTAATTTCTGTACTTCTTAGGAAATGTAAAGCACTGTATAAATTCTTAATGAAGATATGTTGGATGCTGACAGGAATTATGGATTTTTTCCTCTACAGGGCATTGCATATCTCAAAGAAGATATTTCCACAATGGACAGTGAGGCAAAACTCTATCAGTCAAAGAGACAACAAGCCCAACAGGATAAGAGAACCCTTTATGGTGAGTGGCATGTGATTAATAGCTACCATTAGATTTTAGAATGAATCAAAATACCTTGAAAATTTTGCTTTCTTCAGCAGCCTATTGAAAATGAATCAGAGCTTCTATACCCATTTGGAAAGACTCTTGGCTTCCCCATGAAAAGATTTTAAGGGCATGGCTTTATGGCTTCTTTTTGCCCAGATGGGTCCATGCTCAAAAGAATCCTCACTGCACCGTGGCTCCAAATGGGAGCCGACCCAAATGTCCAAGCAGCAAGGCTGACTACAGGTTCAAGTCTGGATTGCTGAAAGCAGGAGATAACGTTAGCACTGAGACATTGATTGCACTGTGCACTTTTTTCCTTTCCAAGCATGGGTTTCTTTATGGCTCTCCTGGAGCAGCAGAAAGAAAAGTGGGGAGGCCCAAATGAGGAGCAAAATATCAAACAGCAGAATGTGTGTGTACATAAAATAAACGTATGAGTGTTAAAACATTTCTAATCAAAGAATGGAAAAGTATCTGCACACACTGACTGGATTAACACACCTTGTTCCATAACAACAGAAAAGGCAACTGTTATTGGTGGTGCCCTTGCCATGTGCCTGGTAGTTTCTTTTACAGCCTGTTCAGTCCCAAGTTAGGCTGCTCAGCCTGCTTTTGTAATTAAAAGTGTCATTGAAATTTGTATTGATACTTTTATTATGCCTGTTGGAGAACAATGTTATTGAACTGTCTTAACTTTTCCTATCATTTATCTTGTTCTCGCATGATCGGCAGTGCAGAAATGTTTTAAATGCATGAAAGACAGCGAAACAGGTAGCCCCTAGCATGGATCCTTATGAGGCTTATGGCATCTTTGTAAGCAATTGCCTGACACCCCACACCTCGAATGATAAAGGAGGGCACTTGGGGACAGCAGTAGGGTAGATCGGGTCTTCAGCCATTTTGGACCCGTGAGTAGATGCAAGAATTAGAGAATCTGCTGGGACACTGCCGAAAAAGGCCTAACCAGTGGATTACGGCTTTGGCACCTACCAGTTGCATCTCTGGATCTTAGGCTATGTCTTCTTGAGCAAAACATCTTTGTTTCTTGTCTTTCAACCAAGACAATCCCGCCTTAATAAAGGACTATTTAATTCAGCTAATCACTGGCAGAGCAATACAGCTAGCATGCCTTTTAAACACATGTTTTGGCAGCATCCATTAATTGGTTCTTTGTGAGTAGAGAGCTATTTGATTTCAAGTGCACGAATGCAAATACTAAAGACCATTTTAGATACCTTCATTTAAACCATTTAAAACTTCCAAGTAATTCCGGCATATATTTCCAGACGCACTGTAACACTTTTGCATTTCTTTTAGACCTTTTCAGCAAGAAATGGATAAAGGATGACCTTCTTTATAAGGTATGTTATGGAACTGTTACAAAGAGGCTTGGGAGTTTTCAAAGCCATGAAGGCTCACTGCCACTCTTTCAGTGGGATTATGGACTGTGGCCTGTTTTCTCAGGCTAGAAATAGAAGGGTTTCAGTTTCATAGCAAGAAAACTTTTGTTTGTTCTCCCACTCTTGCCCAATTGAACCTCAGGCACTGGGAGAAATTGCTTATACAGGTGCCTTGTTTTCAAATTGCAGTCTCGTTTTAATTGCTCTTAGATCCGGACGTTGTAAATTAAAAAATGGCAGGCATTTAACCTCTGCCCAAAGTGCCTTTAAGGCCGGTGCAATTTTAAGGCATGTATGTGAATTCTACTTTGCTTATAATTCCCAGAAAACCGGCCTGTAAATAATTGCATGGAGAATTTTTGCAAGTAAGAATTTTTTTCAGGCAAAGATGCTTTTATAAATTGGGTGCGAGAGGAATCTTCTGCATAATCACTATGCATGAAAGGCAAGCAGGATCGTTACTTTGGCCTCACCTCTGACACTCTGGATGCCACCACCTGGGCATCCATACATTGAGCACACCTGCAGAACATGAGCTTGAATGAGCACATGCCCAGAATTCAGCTTGCAGGACATCTGGGGAGGGTCAGGAGGCATTATCCTTCTCTTCTGCCTGTTCAGCCTTACACACAGAAGGCAAGTCAGAAGCAGGTTGTGGCTTGCAAGAAGTAACCACGTGTCACATTCTGCAGTATCCTTAAGCATGGCAGGCTGGCAACTATTGCAGACCTATCTGCTCTGATTCACCCAGCCATTTGAATTTTGAGCTAGATTCCACAGTCCTCCGTGGAAGGCAGCTAGCAAATACCAATGATTGTTTCTCCCCAGTTATGGGGCCAAACTACAACCAGCGTTTTAATGAGATGCTACCATTTCTCAATGCATTGATCCAAAGGCTCAGAGGATGCTCTCCTCAACTCAGATTTAATATTGTGCGAAAGACAAGGCTGCACTTGCAAAGAATCCCCTCCTCAGTTATGACCAAATAATAAAAAGGTGCGTGCCTTTTTATCCCCAGCAAAGCTTATTTTTGTGCCCGAGCAGGGTGTGGAAATGTAGAAAGAGGCCAGGGTGACACAGATAGGTTTTTTGCAGTAGAAAATTTAATTTCTTGATTATAAGGTGAGCCATGTGTCCCAATCCCATTACAGATGTTCCTAGAGTATCAACGTGACATCCTACATATCCTGGGAAACTACATCCGCAGGAATAAAAAAAGGAATGACAAACTTGACTACGTGCACGACGGACTACAACTAAACTGCGAGGCGATGGAGTCTCTGTTAAAAAGCAAAGCCACAGAAGAGGGTGAAAAGGTAAGCCTTCTTTCATTCCGTAGTCGGGAGTGCCCAGTACAGTACAAGGTATTCATGAGAGATTCAGTGCGAAGATTAATCAGGCAAGACACTGCAGCCAGCAATGCCTGGCCAAGATGCATAGCTGACGGCGGCCCAGAGGTATTGCGCAGGTGTCCAGTCCACTGCAGAAGCAGGAGTCCTAGAGCAAGGTGGGTTGCAGTCAGCCAGGGAGACGAGATGTTGTTTCTATCATCCTTTCCCACTTTTGAGTGCCCTTAAACAAGAACGTCCAGAACCTGGCCCAGGTTCAGCTGCAGCTTGTCTTGAGCTGTCCTCTTACTTGCAGGGAGTCCACTGAGGCTGCAGCTGAGCAATTGTTCTGGGTTAGTCTGCACCGAGTCTTGGTTTCCTGACCCTCATCCAGTCCATTAGCACGCACAGGCTCAGCCAGCTTTCCCCACTGTCTCCTTAAAGCAGGAACCTAAATGAGTGTGTAGAGCAGCTGGGCTTTTTGGAACTCCACCTAAAAGTGGTTCTTAAGAAACAGCCAGTCCCCCGTATTCCAAATTGTACAGGTTTATTTAAAAATGGGAAAGAGAGTGGGGGAGCAAGGGAAGGCATACAAGATGAAACAAAAACATAGGCACTGTAAAATTCTAGCAAGCTGCAACTTCTACTGAGAGAGCCATGAAGATCCCAGTATCAACATTAGCAGGAAGATGAAAAACTATTTGCCAACAGTCTGCTCTGGTACCGGACAGTTTGGGGAAGCCCATCCCAGTGGAAAGGCAACCTGGTGCAGCACAGGGGGAACGCCCTATACTCAGAGCATGTTTGCCTAGACAGGAGGCAGAGGCCCTTTCCTGACCATTTGGCCAGACAGATGCTTGCTCTAAGCTACCCACTGGGAGATTCACATACAGTGCAATTGAAACGCGCAGGCTGGATCTTGGAGAAATGGAATCTGTGGTCTAGCAAAGGTTTAAGAGAGACAGGTGTGGTCAGGTGCATCCGCCATCTGCTCACACTCTGTTATCTTTGGTGCTAGATCAGCTCCTAAAAGATTTGTGTCTGGAGAGTTTTGCAGCTGCTTAACAAATATGAATTTGGTGAAAGGTGTTCATTATGGGAGAGGGAATTTGTCACCTACAAGTTGATGGGTTCTGGGTTCACAGAGCACATTTCTTATGAAGGCCCGACTGACGTGAGTAGGGCCCATGTCTTCTTGTTCCGATTCATAAGAGTATGCAGATAAGTGGGTGGGGGTTTTTTTTCTTTTTAAATAGCTACATTTCCCCAAACTTCTTGTCTAGGAATGAAGGGACTGCAAGAATTATGGACAGAAACAACCACCTATTCTTCATGAAAGATGTGATTAACACTGTATGGTGAAATAAATAAGTTACACTCAGTTTTCAAGTATGCTGTACACATATTTCACAGAAGGGAGAGGCCCTGATTCTTCACAATTCCAGCCAGTGGGGCTTTACTGCCTGCTGCTGATAAAGCAGTCAAGGCATTTCATGCACTAAGCATCCGCACGTTGTTCTGGAGGCCACAGTCAGCCTTGAAAAGGCTGTAATGATGAACCTGGAAGGTCAACCTGCTTTATCTGGAAGTTGGTCCATAGGGAAATGACACCTTCCTAAAAGAAAATGAAGAGGAAGGATCCAAGTAGCTGCAATCATCGAGGATCGCTACTTATCCAGACTGAGATCAGTTATAGTCAACGCCCATTTGCTCCCTCAGAGAGTATCCGGGAGGGTTCTGTGTACTTGGCAGTAAGCAAGTAAAAGAGAGCAGGTGCAGGCACCAAAGCCAGCAGCGGCAAGTCCTGGTAAACGTTGTTCAGCTTGGAAATGGAGATTATTCCATAGGCGTGTAGCAGCCAGTGGCTAAACAGAACTATAAGTCTTTTCTTCCTGACAAGGAGATCCTTGAATGTCTGGTAAAAACAAGAGACATATTTCTATTAGTTTTTATATCTATATTGTCTGGAAGCATTCAGCACTCAGGCTTCTCAAGGGTTACTGTACCTTGGCATTGTAAAAGAATGCATAGTTTGTAAAAACAAAGAAAATGCAGTCCCCGTGCTTTCAAAACATCTTTGTTCCCGCCACTTTGTCGGAAAGACCAAGTTGAAACATTCTCTTTATGGAACACACTGCTGATTTGGCATTCTAAAGAGAGGAGGGGGTCTGAATCCTTTGTATTTAGAACTGAGGAAACCCTCAGAAGTTCTGTGGACCAGCCGGCTTACTGCTCCATCCTTTCCAAGAAGGAGAAACAGATGCCCCTTCCATAACAGCTTGCCCTCTGCAGCTGTGTGATCAGCACTAGAGCCATCTTTAAAGTAGTCATTCACTGCTTGATCTAGTACCAGATGCTTTTGCCTACACAGCCAAGTTCAGCTGCTGCTCATGCAAATGAAGCTGCAGCTTCTTTGAAAAGACAGACATAACTACTGAAGAGGGAGGAATCATTTGCAATCGCTGCTGCTTCACTTCCTCTTCTCAGAGGCACATACAGCAACCTAGGTATGTGGGACTACACCTCTAATACACCTGGAGCATACCAGGTTGGGAAGACTGCATCCCAGGGATAAGCAGATGGGTCCCAGAGCCTCTCCTCTCCACAAGGCCAAACAAGCTGAGGAAAACACCCTCTGCAGAGTGAAGGGAATGCGTGAACCAAGACTTCACCTGCCTCAAACATGAGGGGGCCTACAGGCTTAGGTCTACACAGAATAAGTAATTTTGAAGGCAAAACCTCCGCTTGATAGGATAGGACATTTTGAGGGAGAAAAGATTCATTGGTATCTGCATGAGCTCAAAGATTTCTGATCCCTTCTTCTATGTGTGTCCCATATTTTTCTTATCTCTCTGATTCTTTATTTATTCAAGGTATATCCCACCTCATTAGCCACAGGGCTCTCTGGGTGACTTACAACCTAATCAATACAACAATACAATAAAATCTGCAGTTACAGTAAAACCAATAACAACAATAACATCGATAAATGTAATAATAAAACAAATGATGCATAAGAATAAAATAAGATTGTCTCATTAAGACGATCTGGTTGATATGTCTTTAAAAGAAGCAGAATTTCACTTACTTCTACTTCAGATGCCGATAGATACACAACCAAGGTGACAAGCGACAGCACGATGATGATGTAGGGGAAGGCGTAATCTGGAAGGAAACAGCCACAGGTTATCCTCGCACACCAATACTTCTACCAGGTCACTTAAGCTAAAACGCTAAAAGCAGCTGCACCCCCATTGGGGTCAATGAAATTACTTCCAAGTAAAAGAGCCTCAACCGCAATGACAAACTTTCCAAGAAACGCGTGGTGTAGAACTCGCAAACAGTCCTTGGGGAATGAGTTGCTCACGAGATCATCTTGGGCCTTCTGGTTTCCAATCTGGTTTTAAACAGAGTTCCAAAAAGAGAACTGATACCTTCAGAGTGGGATGGGGAACCTCTAAATCTGTGGGCTCAGTGGTCAAGATCTCTTCTTGCTGATGGAGGATATGGAATAATCAATTCAAGTTGGACAACCCAGATTCAGGCTGGACAGCAGGAAAAGCTTCCTCACTGTCAGAGCAATACGACAGGGGAACCAGCTGCCTGGAGAGGTGCTGGGCGCTCCCACACTGGGGACATTCAGAAGGAAACCAGTCATCTGAGTGGGATGGTGTAACTTGGTGTCCTGGACCCAGTGGCCGCCTTGGCCCTTTCCAACTCTACTATTCCATGATTCTATGTATACCAATTTGCACATTTTTCTCATCAAACACAAAACATCTCAGTTCTAAGTCCCACTGCAACAGCTGGACTCGTGCCTGTAAGATACTACTTCATTAAAAGTGCAGTCCTATGAATATTTAGGTAGAAGAGGGCCAGCTGCACCCAACAAACCAGCCCTGGCAGAAGTTGTAGGCCATTTTTCTGCCTAAACATACATAGGATTACATGCTAAAAGATTTGCAAGCTTGCAATATCAGAGTCTTCTCTGCTGGGAAGTACCCAAGGTTCATAATGATATATCTTGTAAGTTTGACACACTGTGGCTAAGATGTAGGTGCTTTTGCTTAAGCCTACCTGCTTTTCAGTGAGAAAATTATGTGTTGTTTTAATATTTAGTTAAAATTTTAAAAGATCCCCCTGAGGCAATCCCCACCCCGACATGGTAAATATGCCCCCAGAAGCAGGCTGTGCCTTTCCTATGGCTTGGAACATAAAGACGACTTACACAGCAAGCCACCTCCAACTGCCTGAAGCACAGTAAGGATTGGGAAGAAGTAAAGAGCTGCATAAATGCTCTTAAATCGATCTGACTTTCCTAGCCCGCAAGCAATCTTCTTGACCAGAAGGGGCCGAAGGAGCATCATCAACACCAAACAGAAGGCATAGTAGATAAATACAATGGTGTAGCTGAAAGAGAGATGGCGGATATTGGAGCATTAACCAAGCATTCCCAAGCCCAAGAGCTACACACCTACCATCACTTGACACAGAAATGCAAGGCACAACTGTGCAGCTTCCCTGCAGCCGTGTTCCAGGAGACTTGCTCTGGTGCCACTTGCTTCTCTCAACACTGTCTCCCTCAATAGTCTGTCTCTTCTACCTTGCTAGAGCCAGACCCAGAATCCCTGAAAGCACCATAAACCTTACTATTGGCATATCTCGCTTGCAGCAGTGGAAAATGTGCCTGGAGATTTCCATTGTATCCTTAGTGCACACGCATGCAGACTCCTCACCCCTATTCCCTTTTCCTTAGATCACCTAGGAGGTATCTGTGGCCCATGAGCTGTAATTTCTCTTTGCACAGGCCAGGTCAGATACCACCTGGTCCCCACATGGATCACCCACAGGTGTGTGTAGAGCTGCTGAGAGGCCTTTGATTTAGCTGGACCATGCAGAAAAGACAGCAGGTATTTCAGCCTGCTGGGATGGCCATGACACTGCCACAATTTTTGTAACTGCAACAGCTCCAGAAAGAGCTGCTGGGATTCTTTCTGGGGAGCAGGCTCAGTTTTGCTTCCTTCACACACTTCAGCTGGAGTGTTTGATTTCTAAGAACATGTGAATACAATTCTATTGCAACACAGGACCAAGTAGGCAGGAAACATGTTTGTAAAAAGCCATAAATGGGTGGGCATTTTACAAAACAGTGCACCTCATACAGGTAAGGCCACAGGTATCATACTCACAGAGGATAGACTGCTTCATGGGTACAGTGAATAGTGGTAACATAATCAGGACTAGGGTTGTAGAGCATGGTGTACCAGTCGGAAAGCATCAGCACCTTGCAGGAGCGGATATGCAGGGAGCCCATGGGCTCACTCACAAGCAGAGTAACAATCGCTGCCACACCACATTCAATTGAAGCCGTGATGTGCTGAAACAGAGCACTGGAGCTGGAAAGAGGCAAAACAAGTCCTGAAGAGCAGGGCTGTAAACGGGAAAACCGAATGCTGCACAGGGTGAGTTCACATACCAGCTCCCAGAGTGTGTTCCAGAATCTCTGGGAGAGGCAGGTGTTCACCCCTGTGAATAACTGATTGTCTACACATTCGGTTGTCTAAAATTGCAGTGAGCTTTACCTCCGAAAGAAGCAGGGTTTGGTTTAAATCAATATTTACCTCTTCTTCCCCGAATACCATTCAATAAAGAACCAATGCAAGATCAAAGGCAGCATTGCCATAAAGCCAAGGTAAAGCCAATCATAGCGTTCCGGAGATCCCACACATTCCCGACAGATCTTGTGGACATCCGTTCTTTGTCCTCTTGGACACACCTGCAGAATTTGATTGCAGATCATTTATAAAATTCCTGTCAAAGCTATACTAAAAATACTTGCTTGGAAACAATATAGCTACAAATGAACAGGACAGAACACATATTTAAGAAACAATTTTGATGGCCCCAAATTCTATTTAGGCCATCCTTCCACCCAACCGTACCCAATAAGGCTTTCCCAGGACCTACAACATCGCACAGAGATGGTTTCAAATATTCAAGAGTCTTTTCAGAGCCTTCTACTTACCCCACAAACACCTGGACTTTCAGTCCCATTTACGATTTCTATAGTTCTTCCACAGTAAAGACCAAGGCAGTCTGGCTGAATAGCTACAGCTTACAAGAAAGCCAAGAGTTACTACAGTACACATAAAAATGTTCAAACACATGATTTCACTAGCATTATTTTATCCCTAGTCACACAAAGGAGAACCACATATGCCAACATAGAACAGCACCAGTGCAAATCCGGGGTGGGGTGGGGTGGGGTGTTGATTTCAGGGAGCCAAGAGATAGGGGAAATCTGGAAGTTCGTGTCATCTACAAAACCGGAACGGGACAAATCCCATTATTGTTGGGAGGAAAAGATGGCCAGGACCATAAGCCTATACATGAGAGGTATGTGCAGACAGTCAAGCATCTGCCTCAGAAGTGCAGCTGTTAGGAAATGCAAGCAAAGGGGTGCTACTGCACTTGTGTCCTCCTTGTGGGGTGGCCACTGCGCAAATGGCATGGGTTTTGCATTCTTTATAGGCACCAGGGATGGGAAGAGCAGGATCACATGGGCTGCTGGCCCTTGGCTTGCCTCATGAACACACCTGGCACCGTTTAAGAACACACGTGCCCCCCATATGTACACAGGTCCTGCCAAATGTGCACAGAAGAAGTGGGGTCAGTCGGCAGTATCAAGCCTCCCTTGTGTACATTGATACATACGCTATATGGTGCCAACCCCTCCCCCCAATACAGGCTGTCCCAAAAAAATCGACATCATTTCGTAGTCTAATAACATAGCCAATTCTAGCTCAAATGATCTCAAACTTTAACAAAATGGGTAAAAACTAACGCTAGTTATGCAATGTTACGCAAGACAAGCTACAGAGTGTTTGGCAGGGGGTGGACTACGGACTTGACGTGTGTCGCGTCACAGGTGGTGAGCATATTGAACATGTGTGAAGCTTTGTGAAATCGGTTATAAAATCTACATCCCTTTGAATCTCTTGTTCAAATTTTGATAAATAAATCTTTTATTGTTCAACATGAAGCCTATTTAATTTCATTTGCCTAGGACATGTAGTTACTCAGATATGCACATTTCAAAGAATGTCAATTTTTGGGACACCCTGTATAATAGTGCCAGCCATAAAAGGAGGCCAAAATCCTAAGTAGGGTAACTATGTTGGACCAATTCAAGGTCACAAGAAAGGTGCCAGCTTATGAGATCTCCTAGCCTTGTTTATTTTCGGTGACATTTTGAGCTGGCCTGATAAAAGCACTGCCATTGTATGGCTTCCAGAATTGTATGGTAATTATAAGGATGGAGAACATCAAGGCTAGAAACAAAATTGGGCTCTCCTGGAATTCCAATCCAGCTTTCTAGGACCACCTTTCCCAACCTGACATCCTTCAGATGTGTTCAATTATAGATCCCAGAACCCACCAGGCAGGTAGATGAAGGATTCTGGGAGTGGTAAACCAGCCCATCTTGGAGGGAGCCAAGTTGGGGATGGCCAGTCCAGATGACCCTACCTGTTCCCCACAACCACAAATTGTTATGTAGTTTTCCAGCTTTTGTACACTTTCTTCCATTCTAAAAAGTTGAAGGTTATTTTACATATTCATTAAATGTCTGTACCTCCAAACAGCCAGAGTTCTCTCACAGTAAGATAGTATAGCTTTTTTGGGGGGAGGGGATATTTTGGCACCACCCCCATCTAGCTTGCAGAACATTATTTGTAAGGTGCCCACATGGTTGAGGCCTGCCGTAACCTCCTCAGCCATTACCTGAACATGCTGCTTTGCAGAGCGAACAGTTGGGAACAGGGAGAGCAGTACCCCAGGGACAGGTTTATAAGCCTGTTTCTTACCACACAGAACCGCCCCTCAGGGTGATGGAGTAGTCCAACCCCTCCTTCAGGATGCTGCAGGGGTGCACTGTAGCAGAAGCCACGCCTTGGGATGCCACTGAGCATGGCTTCACTCAAATGGGAAGGCACAATGTGTCCAACTCTAAGAGCTCCGTAACCTTGCCTGAAGGCTTCACACTATCAAATCCGGCTGTACCAACCCGCGCACAGTTCAGTCTGCTCATCAGTAAACAAACCAGCCTGCATCACACTGTGCTGTATCAGACCACAGGTCCATCTAGTGCAGCATTCTGTACATGCAGCAGATAACCAGCTGTCTCCCCACCCATGTTGCCTAGCAATTATGCCACCAGGACGAGTAGCCATGGATCGCCTTCTCCGTGAATTTGTCCAGTCCCCTTTAGAGCCCTCTGAATGCGTGGCCATCACTACATCTTGCAGCAGCACATTCCATTAACTACTTATAAATTAACTACATGCTGTGTGAAGTCCTTTCTTTTACCTGTACCGAATCTCCCACCCATTACCTTCACTGAATGACCCCTTTGGATTCTAATATTATGAGAGAGGGAGAAAAATGTCTTCCTCTGCACTTTCTCCACCCCGTGCATTGTTTTAAACACCTCTATGGTGTCTCCCCTTTCTCATCCTTTTGCTAAGCTGAACAATCCCAGGTTCTCCTAGTTGTACCTCCAGCTCCCCGGATCATCTGAGCTGCCCTTCTCTTAACGTTTTCCGACTTAATGGTATCCTATTTCAGATGCTGGCTCCAAAATTGTACCCCGTGTTTTAACTGCGGACACACCAAGGCTTCGTGTAAGGGGTTTTTGCAGTCCCGTTTTTGGTCCCTTTCCTGATTATGCCCAAGGGGGAGTTTGCCTTCTTCACAGCAGCCACACAGTGGATCGACATTTCCATCCAGCTATCCCCCCCACCATCCCAAGATCCCTTTCTTGGCCAGCCACTGCCGGCTCTCAGCCCACCAACTGAAATTCATGTATTAGATTTATATCCCGCCGTTTTTCTTTTAAACATCTCAAAGCGGCTTCCATCACTCCCCAACTCCTGCGCTCAATCTCATCCCCACAACAACCCTGCGAGGTAGGCTGGGCTGAGAAGTCACCCAGTCGGCTCCCTGGCTAAGCGAGGCCTAGAACCGGGATCACCGGGGTCCCAATCCCGCGCTCTTAGCCACGGCACCACGCTGGTTCCCCGAGACCAAAGTAACCGCGCTCCTGGAAACAAAGCAGACCCCACCGACTCACCCATCTCGCTCCAGTCCTCGTCCCACAACAGGGCAAGATCACCAGCCAATCCTGGCCGCTGTTGTTACAACGTCACTTCCCAGGACGTTCTTGATTGGTTCTTCCGCATGACCAAACTTTGAAGTGGGTGTAATGCCACTCTCATGCACTCTGCTATGATTGGTGCTCCCTCTCCTGTAGGGCGGGGCTCCCGTGAAGCCAGCTGCCCATTGGAAGAGAACTTGGCAGAGCTGCATGACGAAAAACACGTCCATAAGTGAGAGGGCAAGGCTCTTTTGCACATAGAGATAGAAGGAATGTAGAGATGCACGATATGAGAATAGACAGATAAAGAAATCTGGGCATCCTGGATTTGCTGGCTTTCTGTCCACTTGCTTTCTCCATCTCCTCCCCCTCCCGAACCTTTTGTCTTTCTACTTGCTTTTTCCACCTTCTTGGGTGAGTTCTCCACCTCCAAGATCGAATGCCGTCCTCTCCCATCCATACAGCCCTTTTAACAAAGAAAGGAGAGAAGGCCCTTTCAAGAAGCACCCACGAAGACATTAAGTAAATGAAAATGGAGAAGAGCCAACTGTATGCATTCTATTGTATTTATTTCGATCACCAGATCTTTTTAATATGTAGCACCAACACAGCACAAATAAAAGACTAGAAAAGCACAAACAGAAGAATAAAAGTAGATTGAATTTAATTCAGAGGTGCCAACAAAAGCCAAAGGTACAATTGTATGTATGTTTAATTGAACTAGACAATCAACTCCAGTGTCTTTGCCTAAGGAGGTGAGGCAGGTGGCTACTGGGTAGCCCCTTTATGATGGTGGTGCCTTGACATTGGAATAGCCTCCCTAGAGAGGCATATCATGGATGTGTTTTTGACACCCTATGAAGGCTCTTTAAAAAAAAAATATCCCCAGGTCTTTTACGTTTCGGGCTGAATCGCTTAGTGATCTACAGTGTTATAAGGAAGTAAGATTCAGCGAACATAAGAATGTATGAAAAGCTATGCTGGTTCTGACCAAAGGTCCATCCAGTCCAGCGCTGCATAAAAGGTGGCAACCCAACTGCCCACAGGATCCCTCAAGCAGGATGAAGTGTTATAGGGTAGTAGAAGTCAGCGCTCCAGCTGTGCAGTGTACTCAGAAAAACAGTTCTTACCATCCCACCTCACTGCCTTGCCATAAACACATCAAAAGATGCCTCAGTGTCTGGCGGTGAAGACCAGATGACCCCACTCCATTAGTGGGTAACTGTCCAAGTGTAATCTCTGTGTTTCATAGGCTTGTTAGAGTGCCTCCCTAACCCTGTAAGTTCACACACGTAACCTTTTTGTTTACTTAACTTGGCCAGCCTGTTCAAGGTAACTTTAGCTTAGAAGGCCTGTCAAAGGCATCTAATTAGAGGGAAATGTAACTTTTATCCAATCGCTTTCCTATCCATATCAAAGTATCCAATCGCCTTCCTGCGCACTCCTCTTTTGTGTATTCTACTGTATATAACCCTAAGGAAATTAACAGGGGGTGTTCCTTCTTAGGCACCCATGGATCCATGCATTCAATAGTAAATAAACCAATTTGCTCTGACAAGGAACTGATTTCCGAGCCTCTGAATTGCGGGTCGGTGTGACAGTAGCCAGGAGGGGGAAAAGGCGTCCACTCCCAGACTGCGGCGGCCACGCTGGGAGCTGAACCCTTTTCTTCCGATTGCATGCAGGATGCCGTAGATGGGAAGGTGTGGTGTGAACGTAGAGATAGACGCTTCCCACTTCTCTTTCTCTCTCTACGTTCACCGCACTCCTAACGTCTTTGCTCCTCATGGGCCAATCCCGCTCCGCCAAGGGCCCGGCACGGCCAATCGCCGCCGCGCCCGCGCCCCCCGCCCCCAGCCGCAGCCAACGGGCGCCCGGGGGCGTGCGCGGCCGGCGCGAGGCGAGGCGAGGCGGGCGGCCATG